TGGATTTAAATATGATTATTTATTTACCGATATTTCGATGGATCAATCTTCCATCTTTTACGAGGTGTTTTGCAGTGAAGCACGTAGCAGGTCGCGCGCCCCAGGTGAGCCACTAGACGTCTTCTAAGCTTATTGGGCGATGAACCATCTAATATATACAATCTAAACAGAGTAAATATAATCAAAATAAAAGTGATATATGTAAATGACTATTGAAATTAAGAGATATCAAATTAATTGAAGAAAAAGTGATATATGTAAATGACTAAGTGATATATGTAAATGACTAATGAAAATTAAGAGATATCGAATTAATTAAACAAATAAAATATCATGAAAATTGAAATAACTGTGTAACAAATATACAAATAGTAGTAATAGATATCCGATTAAAAATGGAATAAAATAACCATGTAAATAGCATAATCATCTAAGAGCTTCTAAACTGGGTATATATATCTGGCAAGTCAATCTTTCTATTGATACTATTTTTATTCTCTAATGAGCTCCAGCTTTCGAACATGTTTTGCTCCCTACCTTACAGCTATGGCTGTGAAAGAATAGCCAGAAGTTTAAAAAAAACACAATATTACAACCAGATATCAACCCAATCAGAATTTAAGAAGCATCTTCCGTCACCCTGATACAAAACAAATCTACAAGCCAGAAGATAGAGCGAATGTGGTTTATAAAATACCATGCAAATCCTGCCAGGCAATATACATAGGAGAAACCAGCAAACCTTTATCTGAAAGAATTAACCAACACAAATCCGCACTAAAGCGCCATAACCCGACATCTCTACTAGTAGATCATGCATTCAACAATAGTCACACTCCAGACTTCGATCACACATCTATAATTCATCAAAACATCAAAGAAAAACATTGCCGTTTATTTTTAGAAAGCTGGAGCTCATTAGAGAATAAAAATAGTATCAATAGAAAGATTGACTTGCCAGATATATATACCCAGTTTAGAAGCTCTTAGATGATTATGCTATTTACATGGTTATTTTATTCCATTTTTAATCGGATATCTATTACTACTATTTGTATATTTGTTACACAGTTATTTCAATTTTCATGATATTTTATTTGTTTAATTAATTCGATATCTCTTAATTTTCATTAGTCATTTACATATATCACTTAGTCATTTACATATATCACTTTTTCTTTAATTAATTTGATATCTCTTAATTTCAATAGTCATTTACATATATCACTTTTATTTTGATTATATTTACTCTGTTTAGATTGTATATATTAGATGGTTCATCGCCCAATAAGCTTAGAAGACGTCTAGTGGCTCACCTGGGGCGCGCGACCTGCTACGTGCTTCACTGCAAAACACCTCGTAAAAGATGGAAGATTGATCCATCGAAATATCGGTAAATAAATAATCATATTTAAATCCAAAATAAGCCTTATTTTTAAAATATAAATGTATTATGGATTGCTCTATATTCAGAATATATATATTTATATACATAAATATATTCACATAATTTTGGCTGTGAAGAATAATCTTAAGATATTAACAAGGAGAAAGAACTGCAATGGAAACATTGTCATCATATAAAAGCAGAACGATCCAATACAGTATTAAAGCTCTAGGAAGCGGTCTGGTGGATTAAATTGGCGAAACCGCTGGTAGGGTTCACCACTGATGAAACAAGCCCTTCCAATATATTTAATTGCAGTAAGGACAGTACAAGTTTATTCTATATGTAAAAGAAATATTTGTGCTTTAATGAATTCATTTCCTATATATAAAAGATCATACTAATTTTTAAATTTGGAATTAATTTCTCAACATAAATTATATTATATTATGAAAAAGGCATCTCCTTATCGTGCAACTGAAAGTTGCTGATGGCTTGCGCCATCTATCGGAATAAATATCAAATTATAATTAAATTATAATTATTAAATTAGAAATCAACGAGAATAGTTGATATTTATTCCGATAGATGGCGCAAGCCATCAGCAACTTTCATTTTCACGGTAAGGAGATATATTTTTCATAATTTATGCACCTTATCCCAGTACAATATCACATTTGTACTATTTTTTCATAAATCATATTAATATGAAACATTAGCGCGCCATCTGTTATGAAAATTCGAAACTAATATATATGCGTACGATTCTTTTTTAAAAATTAAAAATAATTATTGAAAAATCATATTTATTCTAAAATATATTCAAACAGTCGATTCAACAGAAGCGCAGAGTTACCTACACAGATATACAATAAATAAATAAATTAATTAAAAAGCCAAAAGATAAATATATAACTTTGATAGAATAAAACAATATTTATATCATTAATTTAAAGTTATATATATCTATAAAAATCTCCAATAAATATATTTACATGAAATAATTTGAAAACAATATGTATATATGTAATATATTTAAAAACCCTATATGTATATCTTTAATTTAAAGTTATCTATAAGAAATCTCCAATAAATATATTTACATGAAATAATTTGAAAACAATATGTATATATGTAATATATTTAAAAACCCTATATGTATATCTTTAATTTAAAGTTATATATATTTATAAAAATAAATCTCCAATAAATATATCTACATTAAAAAATTTGAAAACAATATGTATATATGTAATATATTTAAAAACCCTATATGTATATTTTTAATTTAAAGTTATCTATAAGAAATCTCCAATAAATATATTTACATGAAATAATTTGAAAACAATATGTATATATGTAATATATTTAAAAACCCTATATGTATATCTTTAATTTAAAGTTATATATATCTATAAGAAATCTCCAATAAATATATCTACATGAAATAATTTGAATTAATGGAGCGTAACATGATAAAGCTTCTACAAGCTGTTGATGATGATAATATATAAAAAAAGAAAATCAGAGATTTAGAAATAATTCATTCCTAAAAGGTTTTTTTTCCTTGTCGTCTGATTTAAATATAAATGTGTTAATGCTAGTGTTGCTGAACCATTTCATAAAGTTTAAATGGGCGAGAAGATGAATAAATAATATGGCTTTTTACGAAATGAACTAAAGAAAGATTTAGAGATAGAAAGAGATATTTAAATGGAAAATAAATTGATTGTAAAAGGCAACGGTATAAGTGTATTGTGTATATATTTATATTTTATACCTTGGAAATGTATATATTTTTAACTAATTCGTATTTTTCTGTGGTTTATCTCTATAAAATCTAAACCTTTCTTAAAACATACCTAAATTATGCAGACTCTACCCCTATTTTTTCCTTTTTTTAATATGTATTTTATCTATGATTCTTTAGTAAATATGATTATATATGTGATGATTTAAGACCATGGAATTGTTGTAAATAGTCCAGATATCTACTACCACATGTTCCACCAAGTGACTGTATATAACTTCTTATTTACTGCAAATAGAAAGCCTCAACTAACATCAATCTGTACCGCATAAGAATCTAATAAAGTATAGCAACTGTACAGATAGAAGGAATGGAGACTAACAGGAGAAAATTAAGGTTAAAACTAATCAGGCTTAGGTGAAAATAGGAGAGAAGGCCTAGCAAACCCAGTCCAACTTTTACGAGGTCGTGGCCCTCCTGGATAATAAAACTTCCCCCCTGTTTACGTCAGAAAAGAGCAGTGACCTGTTCGGACCTAGCTCAGCTATAAAAGGAGGCCCCTATCCTCAGTTAGGCAGTCCTTAGTTAGTCTTCGTTCCAGTCCCTGTCCACCGGACGCTCCGATAAAAGGTAAACCCTTTCCTGCCAGAAATCTCCTCATCCCATTCCTTCTTGACGTCAGACGCTTCTTAGTGGAATCTCTGTTTGTTTATTTCACCTTTGGCCCAGCTGTGTCGCCTTCCACCACGACTGCACGGTAGAGTTGACATCGAGGTTCGTCTAGTATCAGGTAACACTGGTCCCAGAGGTCCCAAGATATCACATATATATTGATTTAGATAGTAAAATGGCATATATTAGATTGAATAAAATATTTATATATAATATATTTTGAATGATTAACGCTTATTTTAGATCAGAAATATTTATTATAACTTCTAATATTTCGATGTACACCTATCTTCCTCTATTCCTGGTTTCAAACCCTGCAAACATCCACGTGATGTGGCGAGGTTTTGAATAAAGTATAGATTGGTGTGGCCACACTGTTCAATGAAAATATGAATACTTCTTAAATTTCATATATTATTAAAACACTATTGTATATATTCTATGATTACTGTTTTATCTGTAGGTATGATTGGACATAAAATGTTTTTAATTATCAATTATCATTTAAATATCTCATATTTTGGAAGAGTATATATATATATATATTTTAAATGTATTCAATAAATATGATTATATTATTTTTTAATATAAAAATAATATAAAATGAAAGGATTTAAAAGCACGAATGTTTCTTTTATACATAATACAAACCTTCTACTGCCCTTACTGCGATGAAAAATTATAATGGGAGGGCTTGGTTCATCAGTGGTGATTTTCATAATTTTTCATCGCAGTAAGGGCAGTAGAAGTTTGTATTATGTATAAAAGAAATATTCGTGCTTTTAAATCCTTTCATTTTATATGTATAGATGGCGCGTTATTGCTTTGTGTTAAAAATAATATGCTGAACATGGAATAATTTGAAGATAGACGTTTCCTGGCTGGCATTTACTTCGTCCAGAAAAGGTTTTATTTTTTCAGTGTTTATTTGTGAAAATTTCAATTCCTTTATTTCTAATTCTTGTTTAAACTGATATACAAATATAGGCCAATTTCAATTAATATAAATGTAATATAATGCATTGCGGCCTGTGATTGTAAAACGACACTTGAGAAATTACACCGCATGAGTTTCTTTTCAACGAAAAATCAAAATTTATTTCAAGGTGAAATATTGACTATTTTTAACCTTTTTGGATGAGGTATGTAAGGGTGAATTATGAAGAGTAATGATGAACGGAAAAATAAAAGTGTCCAGAGATGGGAATCGAACCCACAATGTTCCGCTTACCGGGCAGATGCCATGTCCACTAGGCTAAATGTATTTCATGATACATTAGCGCGCCATCTGTTATCAAAATTCGAAACTATTATAGACGTGTATGATTCTTTTACAAATTAAACAATTTATATAGCCCCTACTGCAATGGAAAAAAGGGAGGGTCTGAGAAGGTTCACCACTGATAAGCCAGGCCCTCCCATTAATTATTCAATTGCAGTAAGGGCAGTAGAAATTGTTTAATTTTTAAAAGAAGCATACGCGTCTATAATAGTTTCGAATTTTCATAAATGTGTTTCGATAGAGATTATGTTGTTATCAGGTGTAAAAGTTGTTAAAAAAGGGTGAAATGTGTGTAATTAAAGTGTAAGAGTTTATATTCAAGTATAAAATGTGTTGATATTAAAGTGTGAAATGCTGATACTAAAGGGTTTAAAAGGTTGTTTTGAAAGTTTAAAACCTACATGTACAGAGTTATGCTCATGTGTTTATTTTTAAATATTTATATTTTTATATAAAAAGCATAGGAACTATCTGTAATTGAACACTAAGGATAAAATATATATATGTAATATTGTTGTAAATGTGATTCTGCCGACGTATGAATGAACTGGCAGTCGTGTACGTGAGGCGAGTGTTGATGTTCTTCCCACACGCAGACAACAAGAAGCAGAGGCAGGGCTAGATGTTAGCACCGAGAGTGGTCGGGGACAGCCCACGGGACAGAGGTAGAGGCCATGACACAAACTTGGATGCTTATCCCCGAGACATGGAGAGCGAGTGTGTGCGAGACAGGAGCCGTCTGTCGATTGCCATACCTAGAACATCTGCTGACCCCCTGCCAAAACCTGTCCTGTTTTCAGGGGTCGTCTATAAAGAGTCCCTGAGGGCCCCCCATGGGCTTTGGCATTTTTCCTCCCCTCTGTCCCTGCCACCAGCTGACCGAACACTCTTTGGATCTTTATTTTGACGTCACCACTTTTAGTTTTACATACAAATAGGGGTTAAATACAAATAGTTTATATACAAAATATGGGGGTGGTAGCAAACAGAAAGAGTGTACATTTCAATAGAGGGTAGGATATTTTAAGGCATCGGCTCTAACTAATTGGGAGAAGTGTGACATATACTAAAAGTGTCATTATTATACAGTTTTAAAATATACGACAAATATATAGTAAAAAAAACTATATTTAAAACTCGAAATAATAGTAATATTATAGATAAATTGGGAATTAAATGGATTAGCAAGTTAAATCTAATTTAAACATAGGAGATAAAAGTTAATAACAACAACAATTATTAACTTTTATCTCCTATGTTTAAATTAGATTCAACTTGCTAATCCAATTCAATTCCCAATTTATCTATAATATTACTATTATTTCAAGTTTTAAATATAGTTTTGTCACTATATAAATTCATATGAGCTTGTTCTATGATATAAACTTAATTTAAATTATATTTAAGATTTTAATTTTTATTAGATAAAATTTATTATTTACATTTCATATATATGTCTCTAAATTCAATTTTCGAAAATAAAAATATTAAATTTATTTCTCAAATTTATTCCACACTCACACATTTTTAAAATAAAATCCAAATTCATATAGGTTTCTTGTGTGTTTGATATTCAAATTTAAACAGAAAAATATTTGAATTTCGATAAAATAACAAATGGAAGTTTATTAAATTTTGACTAGAAACGGATTAAAACTTATGTACATGTATCCTAGAAAAAAAGGAACACACCAAAAGAAAACAATGGCAATAAAATAGGAAAAAATATATATTTCCCTAGACAAAAAAAAAAGAAAAAAAAATCGATATTTTAAAAATCTCTTTGAAATAAAATAGGTTGAGCTCGTTGTAGTGAAGGGGATGAGCCCAGCCAAAAGACCGCACAGGCAATAAATCAGCGTTGTTAAACCCAAATAGATGTCATCGGAGTTCGATGGAATTCTTTCCTTGTGGGAAACCTTCGATTTGGGCGGGAAAAAGCTTCTACATATCTAGTCAGAAGATTATCTGATATATTTTCGCAGACGATAGTTTTTTATTTTATTTCAACACACAACATGCGATATCCCAGCTATGGATAATTGCGTCGATTTACATTTTTTTAAACAGAAACAGTTATAAATATACAAGAAAAAGTAATCGAAATAAAAAGAGAAACAATGATATATATTGAGAGCCTGAACCTTTCAGGTTTGAAAGATATAATCATAAATATATTTACAAAAATAGTGAAATCTATTATAATTCTCTCTCTGCTATTTACAAATTGATATAGATCTATAACATTGTCTGTTGTCTAGCGGTGAAGAAGAGTGGACATTCCAGCAGTAGGTGTTGCATTGTTGGTTTTTTTTTTATGACAAATAATTTCGCATTTAGTAGGTATTCATTTATTTATAATACAATATAATGTGGCTTATGATTGTAGAACGAAAATTGCAATTATACCGCGAATGTTTCTTTTGAACGAAAAATAGAAATTTATTTTAAGGAGAAATATCATTACCTCTCCACAATTCATCCTTTCATACCTCATCCCTAAGGTTAGAAATAATCGTTATTTCTCCTTAAAATAAATTTCTTTTTTTCGTTCAAAAGAATCATTCGCGGTATAATTTCAATTTTCGTTCTACAATCATAAGCCGCATTAAATTGTATTATAAATTAACTTTATATAATATTTACGAACGGAAAAATATGTCCAGGGTAGCCTAGTGGATATGGCATATGCCCGGTAAACGGAACACTGTGGATTCGATTCCCATCCCTGGACACTTTATTTTCCGTTTATCATTACTATTCACAATTCACCCTTTCATACTTCATTCCTATGGTTAGAAATAATCGTTATTTCTCCTTGAAATAAATTTCTATTTTTCGTTCAAAAGAAACATTAGCGGTATAATTGCTATTTTCATTCATTTATTTATTTCTACATACAAAACGCGATATCCCGGTATATATTACCCGTTCTTATTGTTATTATTTAAATAATTTATTAAATATAGTATGAAGGATGAATTCGTAGCCTTTAGCTTTGCATATTATTTATTATTAATAGGATGGATACATAACAAACTTAGCTTTCATTGTGGCAACGAATTCCAGGACTCAAGACACCTACTGCTGGAATGTCCACTCTTCTTCACCGCTAGACGACAGACAATAAATAATGTTGTAGATCTATATCAATTTGTAAATAGCAGAAAGAATTATCATAGGTTTAACTATTTTTGTAAATATATTTGTGATTATCTTTAAAACCTGAAAGGTTCAGGTTACTAATATATATTATTGTTTCTCTTTTTTATTATTGATTACTCTTTCTTGTATAATATGTTTATAACTGTTTCTGTTTAAAAAAATGTAAATCGACGTAATTATCCCTGGCCGGTATATCTCGTTTTGTGTGTTGAAATAAATAAATATGTGAAACAAAGAACAATAATTATTATATACAAGGGATTATAAACACAAGCTCATCTATAGCTGCTCTGTGTAATATTCCAACAGTTATTATTTCTGGAAGACACGCTGGAACTTATCTTTTGACTTATCTCCATAACCTTCTCCGATTTCTTCATAAACGACTTTGAAAGAAATCAAAATGTTGGAAGCGAAGCCTTGATTCCATGAGAGGAAACAGGTTAAAAATCACAAATTTGTAAGAGATATAGGAAGGAATCAGAAAGTATTCGATGTTCTCTTTGTTAACTGTTTCTTTAAATAACGTAATTTTTCAAGTAGAGAGGTTCGCAGGTTGTCATAGTGCAATCGTTAATTCGACGCAATTCAATAACCATTTGAATCTGCTCGTCTGGGATTACCAGAATGGTCACATAATACTATCCAGTGGTAGAGGTGTCTTGTTCATGGAGCAGATCAGATTGGTCCATGCACCCTGATCACAATACCGGCCAACTGAGGTGGTGGTGTCTTGTCCATGGAGCAGATCAGATTGGTCCATGCACCCTGATCACAATACCGGCCAACTGAGGAGGTGGTGTCTTGTCCATGGAGCAGATCAGATCGGTCCATGCACCCTGATCACAATACCGGCCAACTGAGGTGGTGGTGTCTTATCCATGGAGCAGATCAGATTGGTCCATGCACCCTGATCACAATACCAGCCAACTGAAGTGGTGGTGTCTTGTCCATGGAGCAGATCAGATCGGTCCATGCACCCTGATCACAATACCGGCCAACTGAGGTGGTGGTGTCTTGTCCATGGAGCAGATCAGATCGGTCAATGCACCCTGGTCACAATACGGGCCAACTGAGGTGGTGGCGGTGTCTTGTCCAGGGAGCAGATCAGATTGGTCCATGCATCCTGATCACAATACCGGCCAACTGAGGTGGTGTTGATGTCTTGTCCATGGAGCAATCAGATCGGTCCATGCACCCTGATCACAATACCGGCCAACTGAGGTGGTGGTGTCTTGTCCATGGAGCAGATCAGATCGGTCCATGCACCCTGATCACAATACCGGCCAACTGAGGTGGTGGTGTCTTGTCCAGGGAGCAGATCAGATTGGTCCATGCATCCTGATCACAATACCGGCCAACTGAGGTGGTGTTGATGTCTTGTCCATGGAGCAATCAGATCGGTCAATGCACCCTGATCACAATACCGGCCAACTGAGGTGGTGTTGATGTCTTGTCCATGGAGCAATCAGATCGGTCAATGCACCCTGATCACAATACCGGCCAACTGAGGTGGTGTTGATGTCTTGTCCATGGAGCAGTTCAGATCGGTCCATGCACCCTGATCACAATACCGGCCAACTGAGGTGGTGGTGTCTTGTCCATGGAGCAGATCGGTCCATGCACCCTGATCACAATACCGGCCTACTGAGGTGGTGGTGGTGTCTTGTCCATGGAGCAATCAGATCGGTCCATGCACCCTGATCACAATACCGGCCAACTGAGGTGGTGTTGATGTCTTGTCCATGGAGCAGATCAGATCGGTCCATGCACCCTGATCACAATACCGGCCAACTGAGGTGGTGGTGTCTTGTCCATGGAGCAGATC